TATATCTCTTTCTCTGAATGAGACATTTAGAGTTCTAAGTCAGTCTTCCTTTGGAGCTGAAAGAACTAAGGACAGAGAACCAAGAGGCAGCAAGAGGAAAGTAGGAACCTGTGAGGAATCTGATGAGTTGGATTTTCACATGTCTACCTCAGCAAAGTACCTTCTTATCTCAGCATTCCTTGCTTCGAGAAACCCAGCAACTCTTGATGCATCACTTTTTGACTCCCGCGGTGGTTCCGATGGCCGAAAACGTCGACGGAAGTAAGTGCCTTTTTCATGTAGTCATGCCATTATCCATTTTATCTGCAGTGAAACTTATGCTGGTAGCCATCTGCAATTGATGTCCACAATCAAAATGCTAATATTTGTTATTTTCGTTACTCAAGTTGAACAAATTCCTTTTCTGTCGATTTAACTTGCTTGGCTCTTTCCTACGAAGCGCATCATAATTGATTGAACATCCAAAGTTTTTAATTTTCACTGCAACTCTTGGTGTTCACCCTGAAGCTTTCTTGGAGGAGATAACCTCTTTTTACTTCTCAATGCTTCATCCTCTTATTGAAAGCTAAGAATTGGCTGAGTCTTTTTATTCTTTTCGTGACAAATTTTGAAGATTCAAATCTATCAAATGCCAAAATTCTGGAAGGTGCGGCACCAGGTGTAGCCACAACATTTAAAAAGATGGCCCTATGTTTTATGCAGTAGCTCCCTTGTTTTCTGTCTCACCTTTTCTCTAGTTTTGGACTAGCCCCAAGTGCAATTAAATTCCATCTCCTCTGAACGGAGACTAATCTCTTAGTCTGAGCAATTTCCACATCCTTAGCATCATGTTCTGTCAGAAGGTTGATCTCATTGCACCTAAGCCCTCATTGCTGGCATAAATTGATTGGACCCTTATGTGACCAGAGTTCACAAAATGTTCATATGTTCAGTATGAAGGCTTCCCAGGGTGCCGCTAAGCTTTTGTTACAAAATCTCACGTTTTCCTACCGAACTAACCTAGCTGCCTTGGACTTCCTCATCTCAGAGTCTTAATCTCCCGTTATCTGTTTTCTTTTCTTTAACTTCCTGCTCCTCCTCCAATTAAGAAGGCTCCCTTGGCCCTCACTAGACTTATTATTGCTTGAGGTTTCTTTTGCGCTTGTATCAATAGGCTTATTTAAAATAGGTATGTCTGGTCTATCTAAAAATCCTCATACTATGCCCTTATCACTGTTTGGGAAGCATTCGTAAGAAACTCTTCTGCTGTTATCAGGGGGGACAACAATATCATTATGTGACCAACAGAAAATTGTAGCTCTTGGAAACAGTTGAATCTCCCTGTCCCCATCACTTCTTACCAAAGGGTCTTTTCATCTAGTTTACTCTCCTCCACTAATGCATGGAATTTAATCTTCCTTCACTTGCTGTGAAATTCTGACCGATTTTTACATGCAGCTTCTACCTCCATGAAATGAGAAGATTGATGATACTTTAATATCTGTGCCCCTTTCTTCTGATAACAATCTCAAAACAGGAAGCCTCCTCGTTTTAGGTTGTGGAGACAATAGATAGGCGACTCCGGCAAAGAAAGTTCTGCTGGGTCGCATGCTTGATGGACCTTAGCAGCATCTTTTTATTTTCTCATACGGAAGTAAAGCACCACCAATTCGAACACAAGCTTCCACAGGAATTAAAAGGCCTTTTTTTTTGTTTTGCAAAACCATATTCTACCACTGTATAGCTGTGCCTATCATGTGCAAAAATTTCTGCCAAGTAAATTCTTCCTTTTTCTATTGGGCTGCAAAGATGTACTTATGAGAATCTTTTGGTGCAAATTCTTCATGATCCATTCAAAGCCAGTGGATTCGGTCCTCACCCTGCATTATGAATCAATTATGGCCTCTATTGCTATTTTGCATCTCGAATGATTACTGTCTCGGTCAAAATCAAAAGTTATTATTCTATCAATAAGTTGAATCATGTACTGCACCAGGAGAGAAAGAAGCCCTCTTGCCTTGTTTTGCTCTTTTCCTCAGGAATAGTCCTTCCTGTGTAGCTGGCATCACAATAAAAGTTGCGTCAGTTGATATAACCAGTTGCTCAATGTTTATTAGCGGATAAGTACCACTTTGTGCTCCCCAGCGTTTCATCATCAATCTGGGTCACAGCCTTCTTTATGCTTGAAATAACTTGTTAGTTGAATTGGGACCTGGGACCATAACTACTCCCAAAGTTTGCACGAAGGTCTTAATTATAGATAATAATAATGGGAGAAGATCTGAAACATCTCTGCAAGACATGCATGGCACTGCAAGAACTGATGCATTGTCCTGGACGATCTCAGGATTACATGAATTCATTTTAACTCTGGACAGAAAGATTGAATTTTCTTCCTTTCTTCTTAGCTCGTTGGTAAGTGTCATCTTATTCTTTCTTTTGTGGAGACTCATTCCTGCTTTCTGATGTCTTTTTCTCCAGTCTTTGAGGTATCATCTGCTTTATTAAAAACTTCTCATTTGCAGGCATTCTGAAACGGTGAAGGGGCAAAAGGAAGCTGAAGAAGAGGAACTACTCACTAAAGGACCTGGAAGTTTCCCATTGGAGAGGCTATTAGCAATATTTCAGTGTATTATATCTGGAGCCGAAGATACCCTTGGCGAAGAGGTGCAGGTGGAGGATTCTTTGGAAGTTGAAGGCCAAAGCGGCCCACTCATGTCTGATGTTCTCTTGCAACTGTCTAGTCTCTGCAATGCTAATTTCATCGTGAAAGGAGGAACCTGCCCTCTCGAGGGCTCCACACGGTATCGATCAGTGGTATCAGAGGATCTTGCTCTCAAGGTAACTATCCTATCTAATAATGATTCCAAAATGTGCCTACATGCGACTTTCATTTTGCCTTTCTATTGGGTTCATGAGTGTGAATATGACGATAGGTGGCAAAAAGCGTGAAGTTCCCTCTGGCAAAGTACGTGTATAGAAGATGATGCCATGGAGCGCGACCTCGGGATCACAATTGAGCCACTAAAACACAAGAGAACGTGGATATGAAGTACTGGAATGTAATGAGTAGTAAAAGTTCCGATCAACGATTGAAAATGCCAAGCTCAATATGGAGGGAGCCAATTCTTTTCCCATTCCCGCTCGTAAGGCACTTGGAGTGCATGTGAGAAGGAGAGCGATTGTTTATTCTCCAAGTTGTTCAAGGATCAGAAGTGATAATAGCAGGAAGTGTGTCTGATTTTTCGGCTTTTGTCCGACTTGTACATACGCATCAGATTGTCAGCGAGTCTTGGTTAATTGTAATTCTTTTTCTTTAGTGAGTCATGAACTTAAGAATAGATGGTAGAGAATCAGTGAGAATAGGATCTGTCATTCTTTTGAAGTTCTGCTAATTGGACTGCTTACCCCAGAAAAGTCCCTCCCGGCAATTTGGACTTCCATGTCTTTTTGAGGTCACTTGCGTGACTTGTTGCTGTGATTAAATCTTCAATCCATTTATAACAATCAACTTCTTGTCCAATGTACTTTATATGGTCAATTAATCAATGCTGTCTGCTGCTGTAACATGTCTGCCATGCCTCTCCGTGGGGGAGATTCTACAGACCCGTTTAGGTGGAGAAGTTTTTATATGAACTTACCACGTAGGGTTACTTTTTATTTGGATGGTCGAATCTGGTGGGACCCACCTAAGATCTATAATTTATAATAACCCGGATTTAGTTTAGTGTATGTTCTATGTTCATGAAATAATTTCTCCGAGAGACGTAAAATGGATTGTTTTAATCCATGAACCTGTAACTTGCTATAGCCGATTAAGATCAAATTTATGAACTGTTATTGGTAGAGGAACCACTGTCTGGTAACGTTACTTTTAAAAATCACTGAATTACTAGTCTTGGCCTTGGATGGTTTTGTCAATGCAGATTGAATTGTTACCACATTAAGCAGTCACACGGTGGGTCTGACCGAATAAAATGAACAATTTCTATTTCCCTACAGAAGTTAGCCATATATCAAATAGGGGTGAGTAAGATGGACCGCCCAAACCGGGACTGGACCGGACCGGACCGGACCGACCGGTTTGGTCCGGTTCTTGGGAATATCGGTCCGGTTCCCGGTTCCTAAAAGTGGAACCGGTTTCAAGGCGGTCCGGTTCCCGGTTCTAGGGTGGGAACCGGACTAATCGGACCGGACCGATAAATATATATTTTTCTAATTTTTTTATACATATAATATTTAATATATATATGAAAAATATTTAATATTGGTCCCATTGGAACCGATTGTTCAATTTTTTCATATATTATATATATTTTTCCAATTTTTTCCATCGCCTTATGGGATCAAATTAAAACTACAAAGGAAAGAACGGAACAATCGGTTCCCGGTTCACAAATAATATTGAATATTGGTCCCATTGGAACCGGTCCAAGGTCCCAAGACTAGCCGGTCCGGTCCCCGGTCCTAGAAATTGGGAACCGGTCCTCTCGGTCCGGTTCTCGGTTCTTGAGTTGGACCGGACCGGATCGGAAATCGCTCACCCCCGATATCAAAGATTATACGTGTCAACGTGCAATCTCTCCTGCTCGTCTTCAAGCGACGAGATCCTCCTACCGTCCGCTCTGCGTGCCACGAAGAGCAGAAGTACTTTCTTATTTTATTGAGACACGTGGTATCGATGTGGCGTACATCAAGCGCCACATCCAGAACAAAAATTGAAAACTCAAAAAGAAAATTGAAGACCGTGTCGTCTTCACTTCAGCATTGTTGTTGAAGGAGGGCCTTTTTAAGGGAGCTTTTGTTTCTTTCTGTGATGCAGAGAGCCGCGCTCGCTGTTGGAGAGGACTTCTGGGGGAAGGAGCATTGTTGATGCTTTGAGACTTTTTGTACGCGTGGACATCGCGTCACCTAACAATGCTCGACCTCCATCGGATGAGGTGGGATCCATGTGCGCCCCACTCGATCTGAAGGCGAATTTTTGGGCTCCCCTGTACTTGGAGCATGTGAGTACATCTCGGGCTGACCGTGACGCAATCGCGTTGTACATCTTAACATACAGGAAAAAGTCTTCAACTCACTAGCAGCTTTCCTAGAGTATCCCATAATCAAACAACAAGTTTCGGACGTATCTTCTGGGAGAGCTACTTAGCCACCAGAAAGGAGCTTCAGGGTCGAGGAAACCGCCGATGACGTACATGGTCACGAGACATCCGGACACCACGAAAGGAACGATTCCCAGCCCGGTGTTTCTGCACAATACAACATACGTACCACAAGCAAAGGCCAGCACCATCGCGAGTATCGCGACGTACATGCTGTACGACGCGACCTTGGCGTATCTTACCCGTAGCCTATCGCTCACGAAACAAGTATCGAATTGTAAGAACAATGCCAGGATTGAGAAACCGAACGCTGTGACGTTAGAAATCACAAAGGCTTTAAATGCTGCCCTGCCAGCAAGAACCGCCATTCCTTGGTCCGGTCCGGCCTGGTGATAACCTCCGGGCATCGTGAAGGAGGCGGCAAAGGTGACTGTTGCTATTAGCACTGCCACTAGCAGTTGAAGGTCGATGATGCTTCTTTTTGAGGAATCAAAATTTTCTGGGTTGGAGGTATTACTTCCTGCAATCATAGACGCAGCTGGTCGACCCTTAACAGATTGCTCGTCTAACCTCTTCTTAACATGCTCGACAACCCAGTCTTGATAAAACGGCATTCCATGAGATCCTTTCAACACATGATAAACTTTTGCAGCTTGGTAGCCGACCTAAAATTGTACAGGATGTATCAATTAACAAGTGGTCTTTCCCAGCGAAATACTTCGAGACCCTCACTTTACACACTCAAAATCCATCTATAACAAGCAGAACTCCCGGCAAGTCCTAAAACATAACGGAGAATTCATTGAATTCATCTCTTTTAGATTGGGTAGCAGGTTGATAAAACAAGAAAATAGAGTTTCCCGGATTAAACAGTTACAGTTTCGAGTATCTTATTTCTAAATGAAATTATCTAGGAATTGTTTGAAGTCCTTTTCTCAGATGGGGTAGAGTGCAGGTTCTCTTTTTCACCTAAAAAACTGTTTGAAAGTGGGCAGAAAAGAAACAGAAGGAATTTACCTAAAAACTGTACAAAATTCTCTGATCCATTCATATGAACGTGGCAAGATAGTTGTTTCAAAGTCAAAAGGCACATATAAACTTTTGGATTTGGATTCTTTAAGTTACATGTTAAAGTCACTTCTAAAGTGGTTGGCACATCAGCAGGAGAGCCATTAGACAGTCCAGATTTATTCTGCATTTTTCCTTCTATTTCCTTTTCTTTTCTTTCCTTTTCTCTTTACCCCTAATTTTAGAGGAACCCAACCCCAAATGTTTTGCATTGTTTGTTTCCACCTGAAATGAGTATCACCTGGGCCACAGTTTCTAATGATACCGAAGAAATTACTCTGCGAGTGAAGAAATTGAGCTCTATGGTGTTCAACCAAGCATACCTCCTCATGAGCAGAAAAAATGTCAAGGGCGGTCAAATGATCCTTATTTGCAGCCAAACGGTCCACCCTCTTGTCTCGTGCAAGTATGTAGATGAGGTTGTGTTGTCTATGAAGCGCAGCCAAATGCAGAGCCGTGTTTCCATCAGTGTCTTGTTCGTTGACAAGATCCTCCAGGTTTGGCATCCTTAGCATGTACTTGACAGCATTTACTTGTCCACCAATAACAGCTGCATGTAGAGCCGTTTGCCCTTTGGTGTTTATTATGTCACAAGCATCAGGACAGGATCTAAAAAGCTCATCAATGACATTGACGTGGCCCTGAAAGGCTGCAATGTGAAGAGCCGATTGCCCCTCTTTGTCTAAGTCGTATGCCGCAGAAGCGTCGTGTTGCAGGAGCAGTCGAACTTCTTTCACTTTGCCGATGCAAGAGACATAATGAAGAGGAGTCCACCCCATATCATCTCCTTCTGTGATTACTTCTGGTCTCTCCTCCGCAATTTTCCACCAACCTTTGCATATAAAATAGGAATATGTCATGATTTAGATTGTTTTTAGCATCTGGACATATATATGTCACGATACCTACTGGTCAGTGAGCAATACATTGCGGTATGCAGAGCTGTCAATCCCTTAGGGCCCTTATGAGAGGACGACGACGAAAAAGCACCTAAAATCAGCTCAGTGGTATGAGAAAGTCCTCTATTTGCTGCAAGATAAAGCGGGGACTCATCAGCAGCATTAGTAATATTGCATAGGTGACGATCTTCTTCAATCAGCAACTTCACCACCCAATGATGGCCTCCTCTTACTGCATAGTGCAGCGCGGTATCCTTATGCAAATTCGGCTTTCGAAGCAGCTCTTTGCATGCGTCAACTTGTTCTTTTTCAACGACCCAATGCAGTGATTTTGCCAGATCAATGAAGACTCGAACCGCTCTGTAGCTTCCCAATTTGGCAGCAACGTGTAGGGGAGTGTCTCCTCTGCAGTTACCCTGCCAAAGAAGGGACGGTCCCCATGGACATTGAAGGAGATGTTCGATGAAATTCACCTGCTTGTATTGAGCAGCAACGTGAAGAATGTTGTTGTCCTTCGGCGTTGTTTGGTGGAAAAGGGCCTCTTCATCTTCTGAAATGATTTTCAGGTAATCAGAGTCTCCTGATCTTGCAGCCTCATACACTTTAGGATCCATTCTCCCTCTGTCTCTACAATTCCCAGGATAAAAGTGAACTTATCAATATAAGCAGAGAGAACTTTCTGAGATATTAACGGTTTCTTTAAGCTTCTCAAAAGTAGAGCTAAAAAGCTAAAGAAAGGTCGTTGCGGGCGACATGGGGAGGGCCTGCAAGCGCTGGCGAGGGGCTCGCAGACCCTTGCCCACCGGACCGCCCTGACCCTGACCCTCCTCCTCCTCCTCCACCTCCGACCGATCGACCGACCACCGCGAAACAGAAACAGAGCATGGAGCCCAGTTGAAGTTTATAATGCGCAAGCCTCAAACGTTACCTGCAACTCAATTCGATATTGCCATCATCAGGCAACGGAGCCAAGCACGGAGCGTCGCTCTTTTCGCTCGCTCCGGACGACCAGCAACTGCAGATCATCGGCGGACCGCCACACGACCGACGACCCCCACGCGGCCACTTAAGGCAGCAACGCACCGGAAGACGGCTTCGTCAGCGGGGGCTCCAAACGAGCGGCGACTTCAAGACGGCGGCTCCAGAGGGGTGATCTCCGGCCGGCAAGACCGGCGGCTCCACAGACAGGGTCGCTGCCGTGGGAGGTCGACGAGATGAGGGGAGCTGAGAGACAGGGGTAGAAGGAGATGCTGATGATGAAGGATAGGAAGCGAGAAGGAGAGAGACGAATTTAAGCCTGTGCTTGCGGTTGTTGAGAGAGAGAGAGAGAGAGAGGGTTTGACGGCCGTGACTCGCCGGTCGTACGCCGGCCGTACGGCGGAGGGTCGTCGGCCGCCACCGGTCAAGACGGGGGGGCGCCTCCCACTCGCCACCTCTGCATTGACTCTTGACAGCACCGTGCCTCTCGGTGCAAGAGTCGTGCCGCCGGCCAAAAAATAAGAAAAGAAAATAAAAAGGAAAAAGGGTTACCTTGGACTTTGCTTGATGACTGGTTGACCGGATATTGACGTTGCACGTGGATCTCCCGGCACGCCACGATTCATTCACGGTTAAAGAAAACGATTAATACCACCAAAAATCTCAAACTGATACGCCTGTAATACTCTATATTAATTTTTGCTAAATTTTATTGTTAAATTACTTTGTTAAATGATATCAGGTAATTGACGGATATACCAGTTTTGAGTTTTACCCTCTATTTATTACATGTGTATCAGTTTGTGATTTTTTTTTTTTGCATTAATTCAATTTAACTGAAATTAACGGAAGGTAAATTTATCACAAACGTGCCGAAATTGGGTTTTTTGGGATCAAAAAATTAGTTTGGGGTTAATTTGGCACAGGTATACCAGTTTTGGGTTTTTAGTGGTCAAAAATTTAGTTTGGATAAATTTGTCACAGGTGTACCAGTTTGGGGTTTTTCATGGTATTAACCCTAAAGAAAATATGTATACTTAAAAGTTAGGAAAATCCCGAAATGGGAAAAATATTTCATTGAAAAATGATTTCTCGGAAAATATTTCTTTTCATCTTGAAGTTCTTTTCCATTAAGTAGTTATTCATAGCCGATAAAAAAAGTTCACAAGTAAGAATATATATGTCCTTGTTGGTTTCATTTTCCTTTTGAAAAAAAAAATCCAAGACGTTTTTCCAAATGTGGTGCCTGTCCATTTTATGCTTCCGATTGTGGTAAAAAAAGGCACCGTTATTAACGGGGAATAACGATGCGATCACCATAGCCCCGTTCAAAATAAAATTTGGAAGGATGATATCGTTTTTTCTAGGTACTTGTTCACTCGTCAACGCTAAGTAAAAAAGATGAAATAATAAATTATGACATGTTAGCATTTTTCGTTAATCAAATCAGATGGAACTACCAGATGGATTTGATTGCATCTATTTGGTAAACTATGATTTGGGTGTATTTTATGAAAGTCTTAGGATTCAATTACACGTTCACAACAATTTTTAAGATTTTTTTATACACTTATTCCTAAAAGATATTCAAAAGAATTTTCTTTATAACTTTTTAAGTAAATAATATCCCATATTATGGTCCTATATTTATGTACTAAGCATAATCGATAACAAAACAACAACATTTAAATGGAATATTCAAGAAATAGTTTCAATATTTGCCGAATTCACAATCTTATTATTGGTCGGACTTAATCCTACTACAACAATTCTCTCAATGACAAGGCCACATAAATTCAATCTACCTAAAAGCAAAAATTAAAAGGAATAAACCAGAAAAAAGATTTTACATTTGCAGAATTCACAATCTCATTGCTTGGATTCAAACCACGTAATGGCCCCGTTTGGTTCAGCCTTGGAAATGGGCTTTCGAGAATGCTGAACCGTTTGGTTCAGTTTTCGGCCTAGTATTGATCAAATGCTAGCATTTAGAATGCCGAAAGCCCAAAGCTAGTTCGGACCAGCTTTGGGCTTTCGGCATTTCACAAATGCTGAAAAAAAAATTTCCCTTCCCAAACTACCCTCACTCAAACTTTAATATTCCGATTTTCCCCCCTTATCACTGTTCATCTTCTTCACGAAAGCGTGGCAGGCGCGGGCTGCCAACGATACCGGATTTGGACAGCGAAGAGCCAGCGAGGGGTCGGCGAGGTCGCGCAACCCTCGCCGGGGGTTGCCCGACCTTAGGCGATGGCCACCAACGCTAGATCTGGCTCGTCGGCGGCCGTAGCCCTTCGCCGGCTTCGGCGAAGGGTAATTTTTTTTTTAATAAAAAAGGGTCTTAAAGCCCTTTGCAAAAACAAATTTAGCCAAATACTATTTTTGCCAAAGTAGCTTTACAAAATTTTATTTACTAAACGGCATTTGCATTTCCCCAAGGGACTTTAACCTAAAGGTATTTGTATTCCCCAAATGGCCCTTATCAAAATTAAACCAAACGGGCCCAATATGATGGCTCTATGTTATGCTTTGAGTGCTTCAAGTTTTAGCGTTTGTGCGATTTGATCCTCTGAGTTTTATTTTATTTAATCAAGTCTTTAAACTTTTTGAGTTTGTACGATTTGATCCTCCAAAATTTATTTTGCGCAATAAAGTCTTCTGACTTTCTCGATTTGTGCAATCGAATCTTTCGGTTAACCACTCTAACTAAGCCGTCGAATTAATCAACGATGTGGCGCTGGTTACGTGATGCTAACTTGGTGCTGAATGAGAAGAAAGTAAAATAGAAAGACAAGAAGAAATAAACCTTAATACGTGACTGTATCGATCATAGCGGGTAAATAAAAGCACTTGATTAAACAAATCAAGGAAGCTAACCACTGCACTAACTACCACAGTGCCGGGCGAGGGAATTGGACTGGCCGGTTTTGGCCCGGTTCCGGGACTCGGGAACCGGTCCGACTTTTGTTTTGTCCAAAAAAAAATTCGAAATTCTATAATAAAGTATAAACGTCGCACCCTTTCATTATATTGCTATTTTCATTTTGAAGATCGTGGTTCGATTTTACATGCGCAAAAAAAAGATTTCTTTTATTCCCGAAAAGACCGGTTCGACCGGGGAACCGGAACCCGTCAAACCGGACCGGCGGACCCGAAAATCCCAGATGGAGTGGGAGTTATAAAAGCACGGGAGGAGGACGACGGCTCACTGAGGCGGGGGACCGGAGAGAGATGGCGGATTCGCAGAGCAACAGGGCGGCGGTTCAGGCGACCAACGACGACGCCTCCGCCAGCAAACTGTACGGTCATCCTCCTCCTTCGTCTCTCTCTTTCTCTCTCTCTCGAACTCCGTTTCGATGTCTGCAATCGCGGCTGTTATTATGAGATGGCGGCATCTGTATCTGCGAAAGGGGCGCTTCCCTTATTGAGCAGGATCTTCGATGCTCGTTTCGCTTCGAAAAATGAAATCGGCGATGTGAATGCGAAGAAAGAAAAGGAGTAGAATTGAATTTCGATTCGTCAATGGCTGTTCTGTGATCGGTTGAGATGAAATTGCGAGGATGATATCGTGCTTTTTTTTTTCCTTCTATTTTTATGACCGTTTTTTGGTGCCCCCCCCCCGGCGCGCGGGGATGTTGGTGCCGCTCGCTGCTGTCGTTGCTTATAGCGTGGGCGGAGGTTTTGACGTTCGGTGTTGCTTCTTTTGTGTGGAGTGATTTGGAGGGACGTGTGTGTTACTGAGAAATGTGTTTTACTTTGATGATTCGGTGTGCGATCTGATGAGGTCTGTCAAATGATTCTGGAGGGATTTCGATACCAAATATATGTAAAATATCTTTTCACGGGCAGCCTCGAAATGTGTTAGGATATATCCAATTTGTAATCCTTTGAATGCTTTGGTTGACACTTAGGATCTTGTACTTGTTGTCCCATCAAAGTGGGAAACCGTGCAAACCATTGAACTGGACCTAACTAAACCAATCTGCATTTTACGGTTCGGTTCAAGAGGGCTTTCTAGAAATGCGGCTCGCAAACTAAGGCAACCCAATTTCAGCAGTATGGTTTGGCTGTGGTTTTGCTGCAGACCTGACCCTTTTGTTGTTTCTCTCTTTAATATTAGACCTAAGACTAGCCCCGACTATATTCCGAAATTTATCTATGTTGCTCCTTTTATTTCATGCCATAAATCTTGTGGACGCTTCTTTTGCGATTACTTGTATTGTCCCTCTTGAGTTGTTACACTTGAGATCATTCTTGGTGGAAGAACCCAATTAGAGTAGGTTATTTAATTGTATTGGTTGGAGGATTTTTAATACTTACTTGTTAACTAACTGGATCAACTTTACACGTTGATGTTATTTAGTGTTCTTGCTTGTTATTCATACTCGCAGAGCGTGTGGTGCATCAGTATTAACTAGCAAAAGAAAATAAAAGAAAGAAAATGGTTGGGTTCAGTTTGGAGCCGAATTGAACTACAAAATTTGGTGTGCTTTGGTCTGGTTCCAAACTTCAATATTGTTTGGTGATTTAATTTTTTTCAAACTGCATTAGTGTTTTTTGGTTTGATTTGGACTAGAAACCAAATCAAATTACACCGTCTCACCCCTAATATAATGGAGCTTTTCTGAGGGAGTTTTATGTGGCTGAGCAATAGTTAGCGTACACAGTTCAACTTTTTGCACCATATCAAGGATGTGGGATTAGAAACTTGGCCATAAGGAGAAGTTTATTTTGAAATAGTGTTTTTTTAGTTTTGTTCCTTAAATTAAGTCTGAGATGTATTATCATCTAATGGTTATATTGTCCAATGTCAGGTAATACGTGATTAACACCATTGTTAAGCTAAGTAGTTGTCTAGTTAGCATGTATCACTTCACAATTTAGTGACAAAGTGGTGAGCCTTTATATAAAAAATGTTTGATATTATTAAAAAAATAGAATTATTGGGAGGGCCTAAAGAATAACTTTTCAGGAAAAAAATTGGCTACAATTTTAAATTACAAAAAAGAATTTGGGCGTTATTCCCCTTCCAACGTCTTGATCACAAGAATTATGTGTCTTTGTGGAAAATATGGAAAGAGTCAACCCCTAATTGATAAAGTGTTGTTCTTGGCTCTGACAACCTACAGGGGGCTATTGTAAAATCCTTTTTTTTACACTGGATGGAGATTAACATTAGTTTGATGTCTATGATACCTGAATGTAATCTCTTGCTATCTCCAAATTTTGTAGTGCTACCTATGAGTCTATGACATGATTGATCTTGGTGCTCCCCTCCCCCCCTCCAAAAAAAAGAAAGAAAAATAATAATTGGTTCTAATTGTCATCACAGCTTTATGGCTGGAGTAAAAGACATTCTGCGAGATTTCATGTTTTCTTGGGGCTTGCGTTGCAGGTCATGTGTGAAAAAGGGGTACATGCAGGATGATTATATACAGTTATTTGTTAGGAAGCCTGTGAGAAGATCTCCCATTATAAATCGAGGTAAGGAATATGCAGAATTGATATGTACATGCAGAAGCTGCTTATCCCGTCTTTTAATGATTGGTTCCTATGTGTCTTCTCATCTTATAATCTTGTAGATTGGCTTAACTCACCATTTACTTTTCAATGTTTTCAGGTTATTTTGCTCGATGGGCTGCCTTACGGAAGCTTCTATACCAGTTTCTTGATTGTGAAAGACATACTGAAGGAAAAGGAACTAAGAAGCAGATATTATCGCTTGGAGCTGGCTTTGATACAATGTACTTTCAATTGCAGGTACTTGACTTAAATTTGGTTTTAATCAATTTCATGACGCAAAATCACTTGGATTGATATATATTCTGTCATAATGGGCATCTTTTTGTTGTGCTTTCCGTTTTGAGGGTGGGGGTGAATTGCTGAAATTGGCTATTTAATGTCTGACTGCCTTGCATTTTCAAAGTAATTGAGATTGAGAAGTATGTAGGCAAAGAGCTATTCTTTTCCTTTTCTGTAGATCACTTGTGTTTTTGGTTGGTCTTATTTGTTGTTGTTTAGATGAAAATCTGTTCTGAATCATTAAGTTGTGATGCCATGAACTTTCTTTTGACAGGATGAGGGTAAAGCACCAGATTTGTACGTGGAATTGGATTTCAAGGAGGTGCAGATTTAGAGACCCCAAATCATGCTTCGAATTTAAATGTGCTTGCAATTCTTTGGTGCAAGGGCTAAACTATCTGTTGACTTATGTCAAAGTTTTTACAGCAGCAGCAAATCTGATTTGAGAGGATTATTCTTAGCATATGAGATGGAATTACTCTATGTTTTTCTTTTGAAACTACATGATGTGTGCTACCACTAATGGCATTTGGTTCTTCTCTACAATTAAGAGATTTTCATGATTTAACGTAAGAGAGAAAGGATTAAAATAATGTGATACTTCTCAGGTTACTAGTAAGAAGGCTGCCATCATTGAGGCCTATGGCCAGTTGAGGGAGAGAATTGGGACAACAGCATATATATCACAAGGTACTTTAGTAGTTTTCACTTATTGGAGAAAACCTAATTATTGGTTTCCAACAATTGATATCCTCAATAGCACTGGTATGATATCTGTTTGAAACTTAATAAATGTGGTCTTGCCTGGTCTATATTAGTGTTGCAAATGATCAAGGTTTAGTTGGTTATGGAGGGAAAAACTTGTACTGCATGTATATCATCTTTGCAGACTAAAGCTTTCTTCTACCCTTATTATAGGAAGCTTCATGCTATAGTTAATGTTACTTGCTTATGCTAAGAGACTATATCTTTCCTTAAAACTGCACCTTTATTTATTTGAATACTATTACAGAGTTAATATGGTCCATAATTAATTAGAAGCAGGTCTAGAAGGGGAGAAAGGTGTATATAGTTGCTCTCATGTTTTAGGTGCTTTGCTAATTTGACCATGATGGGAAAGCAGTGATCTGGTTAAACTGATAAAATTCTTTTAATTAGAGTCAACTCTGAGGAGATCAACTTTCAGGGAATCATTTCTGACCGGCTGCATTTTAGGTGCTTTTGAGTCACAATATACCTGATAGCATATTTCTTTGTTGTGATTTCTTTTATATATTTTTTATTTTACTGTGTAAAGTTGATTTTACACTGGCTGTATATGTTGGCTAAGTGATGCACCACAGATAGATCAGTTAAACAGATATTGTGCTGAACTAAGTATTAGTAATCTGCCCTTTCTTTCATTTAAAGTAGCATTTGGAATCTATATGTCATAATTGATGAACTGGAGCGAGTAAGTAGGCATCTCGCCAATTTTATAAGGCCAAAAGGACTAACATACTATCAGAAGAGATTACTTTAGATCAGTAGCTGGTGTAAAACTTTTACTTCCGTGTATCTTGGGCTAAACTTCTGTTATGGGTTGGTGTCCTTTCCGGGAGGTATCCCCACCTTTTTCTTAATGACACATGAGGTATTTTTTTTAAGATACACGGAAGTAACAGACACCACAGATAGATCAATTATACAGATATTGTATTAGTCCTCTTTGTTGCGGTTTCTTTTAATTTTTTTGATTTTAGTAAGTAAAGTTGATGCCTTGCTGGCTTTATTTGTTGGCTAAGTAATGCACCACAGATAGATCAGTTATACGGATATTGTGCTGAATTAGGTATCAGTAATCTGCCTCTTTGATTTAAAGTAGCTTTTGGAATCTATACGTCATACTTTATGAACTGGAGCAAGTACGTAGGCGTCTCACCATTTTTAGGCTAAAAGGACTGATGTACCTCTAGAAGAGAGTTTACTTTAGATCAGTTGCTGGTGTAAAACTTTTACTCCCGTGGGTCTTGGGCTAAACTTCTGTTATGGGTTGGTGTCTTTTCCAGGAGATATCCCCACCTTTTCTTAATGACCCATGAAGTACTCCTTTACCATTTTCTTACAAGAGTAGTTTGAGAGCATTGCTGTATGCATAAATGGTTGATGGAACAATTGCTCTTTGATTTCCATCAGGCCTAGATTAATATCAACCTTTCTAGGTGCACTTCATAGTCTACACCCATCAAATTAAAAAGTCCTTCTCTATGCATGTGGCACAAGATCTTACGAAAGTGAATGGTGGATTCCTTGCTTTATGGAGATGAAGTCCATAACAAAAATTCTTTGTATGACATTTAGTGCCCTTTTGCTGACTAGTAATGCCGTTATCTTTGTATATCAACCATGTTTTAGTTTGGTTATTTAATGCTCCAATCAAATGCTAATTTATGTCGCTTCTAAGTTCTTGCTAGGAGTCGTTATATACCTGTCAATACGAGGCATGCAAAATCTACTTTCATGGTTCTAGCATATCATCCTTACTATCCATTGTATCAGTGTGCCTCTTATGTTCAGATGCATGAATTTGTGTAAAATTTTATTATGTGTTGATTATTTTGTTCTTTTTGGTTGTTTTATTGATCTTAAGCTTGCTTTAACTTGTTTAGAAAAGGGAGAAGTGATTAGTGAACATTACAAGCTCCTTCCAGTTGACTTGCGTGACATACCAAAGTTGGATGACATAATATCATTGGCTAATATTGATCCAAGGTATGCATGTGAGGTCCTGACCACAATAGTCTGCTTCTTTCTTGTTGATGACACTTGTCATTTGCATTCCCTTTATGCTTCACTAAAATTGATTTATCTGATATTACTATCAGAGGCTCTTTTTCATTTTTTCACATGTGCATTGTCTGATGATTGTGTTTGTCAGATGTATATGATGTTCTGCTATTCTCTGCAGACCCCTACTTCTTGCCTATGGCTTATGTTAAGTTGCATGCTTACTCAGGGAGTTTTTGAGTATTTGAATCTGATGTTGTTGTCAGCTTGCCGACCTTTATAATTGCAGAATGTGTCTTGATATACTTGGATCCAGATTCAAGCCGGGCTATTGTTGGTTGGACTTCAAAAACATTTTCAACAGCAGTTTTCTTCTTATATGAGCAGGTTTGCTACCTTTCTTCCCTCATTTTTGCCTTTGTTAGTTTATTGTTGTTTTTCGTGTCTAAGTTTCATCAATTTATTGATTTGGGAAACTTTTTGTCTTATTAACAGTAAGAATTTTTCACTGTACCATTTTACCGGTGATTTGACAGATCCATCCAGATGATGCTTTTGGGCTGCAAATGATCAGAAATTTAGAGGTTATCTCCGAGAGCCTTTGCTTTTAGAGGCCAGAAAAATCATCGAGTTGTATTGCAATAATATTACCGTGGCTTGGGACTGAACCATAAACAGAGACGGAAAATCTCTGACCCTTGACATTTCTGTTTGCATGAATAAATTGCTGGAAGTGATCTTTTAAATTACTCAGATATGTGTGTATGGGCTAAATAGTTGGATGACTGGGATTGATAAAATTACTTTGTAGTGTAATACCAGCAATTGTTGGATAGCTGTGTGCAGCTGACGATGACGTGAATAAGAATAACATAACGTTGTTCAAGTGGGGCATACTTGGACATGGTCAATAAACAAAAGGACTAGGTGCATGTGCATGCAACTATAGAACTTGCATCAAGGGCAGGAATTTAGCACCTTTTAGAGTGTAGTTAGATGGGTATTTGCTAGATTGAAACTGTATGTCAATTGGTTTTGAATGATAAATAAGATTTCATTAAGAAGGTACCAAGGGGTACTGCCCTTATACAAATAGTAACATGGTCAAATATTTATTCTAGTCAAATAAGCAAATTCTATGACCCCCCCCCCCCCCCCCCCAAAAAAAAAAAAAAGCAAATTCAACACTTTGAGGCATGATTATACTTGATGATGCGTTCAAGTTTATGTCAGCTTAGTTTTGGTCCTTTTGTCAAATAAAATCATGCTTGATGTGAGAAGGGAGCTAGTCTCCATCATTTTGTTATGTGTCAACTCGCTGTCTTATTTAGATCTTCTGAAGTCTTCTCATCTTAGTCATTTCCTTGGTTTTTGACTTCCATTTAAGAGTGGAATGCTAGACTTTGTGATAGATAGAGTCATAGAGAAATACCATAAAAAGAATTATGTTTGACTATAATTTTTATAAAGAATGTACTGTTTCTTGAAGACACGGTATTCTGTCAATCTTTTAAAGAATTATTTGTAAAGCGGTTCAAATATTGGGAAGCCGCCTGCTCATCTGAGATGTTAAATTCGTTTTTGACATTAAACAGAGTCGTGGCTGTGCTCTTCTGGGAATACATGCTACTCCGACGTTATCAGCAAAAGAAAATCTCTTTATTGACCAGGGTTGGCAGGTATATTTTCTTTGTTTTTCAGATTCATAGGAACTTTGTTCGTGCCTTTGTGGCTTCTGATGAACGGATAACGTTAACTCATAAAAGTTTATCTCAATATCCTTTCAGTTTAAAAATGTTCTCCTGATTGTGTTACATTTACATGCAGTGAGGCATAGGTGTTCGAACTTGTCTATTTTGAAGTATGCAGTGATAATAACAACAGCAAAACATGCCTTGCACATGATTATTCTGTCGGTTGAAGTGTGTAATCCGTGTATGAAACTATTGTAAACCGTTTCCTTTTGACATCGTTTTTTCGAGGACTTAGAGTAATTAAGTTTTCAATGTTTAAGATCTTCTTTTATCAAGTTCTTGATATTGTCTTCTTTTGCTATGATTCCTTGAATCATAGTTCCTTTATACCAGAATTATAAAGCATAGCAAGATGTTAAAAGTAAATCTTTATACAAGGAATGAAACTGAAACCAGAAGAGCCCTTGCTGTCGGTATATCATGAAGAGAAAAATTAGTATCTTCCTACTCTATGCCAAGAGAAGATATGTTGACAATCATCTTGCTTGGGAATCCTTGGGCACCCATCAAACCTGCCAAGGCACAAAACAGATTAGTTCGACTGAATAATAAATGTAAACTTACAATAATCAAATCCTTTCGATTCTTGAAAGATTATACTAAACTCTTAATGACTTTGCAATGAGAAAGTTGGCATTATGATGATTAGTATTCAAGGATGCAAAATCTGGAGGTAATTTTCCTTGAAAAAACTGTACTTGAATAATTCAATTAAAAGTGATAAAGTGGATTCAAACTTGAAGCTGGAACGGAGATAACTCAATCTTCAGGGTTTAGAAAACTGAGAATCAGAATAGGAAAAAATCAGTAATTAATAAGAAAAAACTGCTTACAAAAAAGGTGAAGGACTACTTATACTGACTCAAAGCAATCCTAGGATCTCAGCCCTTTAATCTTATTGAAGTTCTCTTAATCTCATCTGTTGAACCTCTTTAAAAAGTTACATGAATTATTATACTATAAAAGACATGACCAAATATTGACATTATGCAAAGAAATACAAAAATTCTTTGGAGCAGAATCAAAATAGCTAAATCTAATTAGCCTAAGTAAACGTCGTCAGCTTCCTCAGCACTCCTGTATCACAGTGCTACATACTTAAAGAAGTCATGCCTGAGTAAATTAAATCATCGTAAACGAGATTCAGGCGCTCCTAATTGTTAAGATAATAGTTAGCTTGAAAGAAAGGCATTCTGCACGTGGAGGGAATAAAAGTATGAACCTGGTGTCACACTGTTGAGTTTCTATTCATGTTTTTGGGTGCATGCAATTTAAAGACCATGAAGGGGTTCATGCTGTGAAGAGTGATGACAGAAGGAAATAAAACATGAATTAGGAGAGGGGTGTTATTGTACAAGGATCAATACTGGGAGGGAGATCAGGGAAGGACTTCTGCTTAATTTTTTAAATAAAGAATTTGGAAGCACTTAATGCCTGAACATATTTTAGAGGTAGACAATAACTGTCAAGAATCCAGAGAATCCGCTTGGAAATCATGCTTGTTGTGCCCTTTCTTCCACCTAAACCAATGACAGCTGGAGTTGAGAAATGTAGATTACAATGACTGTTTGTTTATATGTAAAGCTGAAAAGTGCCTTCCAGGTGACTACAATGAGAGTAAGAGTTCTTTTAGCGAGATGATTATTAGTCAAGATTGCGACTGCGTGAAAGTTGCTGCAGTAAAGCAGCAGTTGGATGTGTTGTATATCGTTTTTTAGGAGTCATTTTGATCCTTCTAATTGACTCTTTTGTTACAAGCTACTTTCTCCTGATGATTTAGCAAATTTTTTTTAGTACATTACAATTTTGTAGCTAGAGATAAAACTTACTTTCGAAGTTTGATATAAGCCTCACTTTATATATTATTTTTCCGAGTTCTTTTTATTTCTCTCTGTAATAGGATTACTATATTTCCTTTTCGGTGCAAAATGATGGATTACTTATAAAGTATCTCTATTAATTTCATCATGATTCTGTGTAGAGGGCCACTGCGTGGGATATGCTCAGGGTGTATAGCAGCTTTATTGAAGCTCAAGAGAGGCGCAGGTTTGTAGCCCATTATCTAGGAAAATCGCCTGCTTTCACATTTTACCAATGATAATATTCTCGAAAAGCACAGGCACTTCCTTTTCGTGAAACAAACTCAGAATAGGTGACAGAAAATAAAGTGCTTAGGCTAACCTAAGCCTAGGACTTCTCGTTGAGTGGTAATGCTACTGCGTATTAGTCTGGTAATTCTGGATAAATCTGGGAAGTTCCTTCTGCTTCTGTTTTCATTTGGAGATCAATACTTCAAGAAAGAGTTATTGCGTGATTTGTCCGATGGTATGTCAAAGACAAATTGCAAGCTTGGATAAACCTAATTGGTAGAATTTAGTTCCCAATTTTTCTTGATAGTAGCTTGGAGGGATGTTGAATTAGTACTTTTCAGTTTCTAAAGCTTATTCTTTGTAATGATGATAGATTGCTGCCTCAGATGGTTACCCACTTCTGTATACCAGGAATTGCTTATCATTTAGATGCACTGTATCAGCAATTCGTTCTTAACTAATATTTGGAAACTCAGTAGGTATCTATTTGTGTTTCCAGAAATATGGTCGCCTATCAATTGTGTAATCTTGTGAATTATGCTGTTTAGTGACATGTTAGCGATGTTGCTAAGCTCAACTTATGCCACTGCATGCTTTGAAAAACAGCACTTTGTTATGAATGTTTCACATCTTTTGGTAGTTTGAGTTCAATTTTTGTGAATAATCAAGTGATACAAATGCTCGCTTATGATTGGGGACTCGTGATTAAGTAGCTACAAATCGACTTTCTGCATGGTTTTGTCCTCGTTTAGAAGTTATTATCCTTATGACAAATCATGATCATTCCGGACAGTTTGAGATATTGAAATATTGAAACAGGGATATAATGGGTGAACTTTCTGCTTTTGCATGCCATACTTTTGCATACTGATGTGGCATTTTAGTGGAGCAGAAAGTTTCATCTCTTTGGAGGATTGTTGTTTGGTTTACCTTGAGGTCCCATGTTTGTCATAACCAAACCACTTTTGAGAGTTTCTGGATTGCTTTATTCTTTTGAGGATAAAGATCACACTTTGATTCTTTCACCATACGAGGCACTTTTCCTCTTTGTTTTGATGCGTGAAGCTTTTTAATTCTTTCTATCTGTTACTTTTGGGTGATGTCAAATTCTGTTTCTCTGATGACTAGGATCGAGCGACTGGAAATTTTTGATGAATTTGAAGAGTGGCACATGATGCAGGCAAGTCAGTTTTCATTCTTATTTTAGGAAAAGGGTCTATTTTGAAATTATCCTAAATTGTGAGCAACTTAAGTATAGTTTGTAGGGCATCACCCAAATTATGTTCAACTACCGATTACCCTATATTCTAAAGGGCTAAGGAAATCATGGACTTGTTATTTTGTGGAGGGAGCCACTTTTGTTGTCTGAAAACTCACTCATTGCATAAACCAGTGTTGCCTGTTTTTATCAGACTTGAAGCTTGGTAACGGAAAACTGTACTCATGGAGAATCTTTACTTTCAATCTGATAATGCTGCCCATCCTCATGTAGTTTTATTTACTTTGGATTTGAGGTCCATGTTTCAACATGTATCTTTGGAGAGGATATGGGAAAATGTCTTTGATTTTTGTGTTAGATTTCATACATTTATTAATTGTCTTGACCTTCTGATTTTCAGGAGCACTATTGTGTGGCTTATGCAATCAATGACTCAATGGTATGTATGTATATATTGGATTCCTGTTGCTGCTTTAATTTTATTGCTAGTATTTTTCTTTTTTTGTGTGATGATCTGGCAAAATTTAAATATCCTCTTTGCTAAGAGCTAATACTTGTGAGACTTAAAAGGAGGCTCAGAAAGGAGACATTGTTCATATACTTTTGGGAATTAAGTGGTTTTTGAAAAGGTGCTTTGGTTCTTGTAAGGTGTTTGGTAACACCTCGAGAGCCAGAACACTCCAAAACTGACTTTTTGGAAGCTCCTTATAGTTGATTTGGAAGCCAAGGCCTTTGAGTTATTTAAGAACCTAAGCTTAAATTGATTAAAATAACTCTATTATATAAGAGACTTTATCAGTAATTTTGGTGATTGTTGTAACACATAGAAACCATATGGTTCCAAACACCTTTAATATCTGCAACCACAAGACAACAACACAGTAAATAAAAAGCTACTGTTGGGATCTATATCACTACCATCCAATAAATATCTCAAATTGGGTTGATTTTTAAGACGTTTTGCTGCTTTATAAGGCATTATCAGAGGTTGGTGAAATTCCCTTGTGGCATATTCAGGTGGAGGTTTAATAAAACCGGTAATGTGGTCTTGATTCGAATAATGTCCTATCAATAATCAATGTAAAACATTTCCGTCAGCTTTTAGTTTGCAATGAGTGGTCTGACTCAATCTGCCTCAGTACAGAAAAACCGTGACATTAATATCATTGCTCATAGAATTTGGAGCATGCAACAATCGTTCAAAACTCAAGAGGGTCCGAATGATTGTGGGCAACACCTGCTAGTCCTGTATCCACGGACCTTGCTTTTCCTTGAACATCAGCCTCGGCCCTGCACATACTTGTCGAGTAGAACGGAACCTCACATACTTTGTATCTTTTGCTGTTCGTGATCCAACAGGGACTGTTCGGAGACTTCGGTTTTCCTAAAGAGAGGGACCAGCGGCCAGTGCAATCCCCGTGAATGGCGTAACGTAGCCGAGGGTGGCAAATGCGTGCGCGAAATTGTCGTGCCGGCTCGCGAGGGATAAATGCTTTGACGAGCTGTTGTGAATGTGGATGCGGTCTTCTCGGGCTTCATTTCGTTTTGGTTTTGGCTTGAAGTGAAGACAGATGCTTTTCTTTTCTTCTTCTCTGGGCCTCTGCTAGCTGTTTGGCAACAGAAAACGTGGGGGGTCCCATAAACGCCCCGGAATTGATTTTGTCCCTAGGCCTATGTGGGGTCTTCAGTATATTTCCGGATCTGTTCCTGAGACCGCATCTTCACTTATCCTTAATGCTTGGCTTCTTTCTTTCTTGCTTTCTTGCTTTCTTGCTGTTCATGATGCCACTTTCTCTGTTTCTTCTCCTTTTCTGGTGGAGATGGTGGGAAATCTTGAGTGTTGCTATTGTCAGCAACGTTGTGCTTTTGTTAATTAAGGATCTCGGAAGCTTTCGGTGCTTTGCACTACCGAATGCGCGAGTAATGAAATTGTATGGCGATTCGGTTACCGAATGCTGGAGCCAGTTTTTCCTTTGCGCATTCCAATGTTCTTCCGAGACCAAGTTAACGCGAAACTTGTGTGTTTCATACGAGCTAATTGTCATAAACTTTCCTTTTTTCTCGTAACAGCTAGGTCCCAAATTTCGGAAACGCAATCAGATTATGACACCCCCATTTAGCTCTTATGGGGTGATTCTACCCAGAATAGTAGTAGTCAGATCTCATTTAAACCTCATGAAAAGCACAATGGGATGCTACGTCCAATGTACTTTTTGACTTTTTGGCCCACTTGAACGGCACTAGGAGAGCCCTTTAGGAAAGGAATCGAATTTTCATTTTTCATGCATTTTCTTCTCCCTTTCCATCTTCTTTTGTTTATATTTTGGGGCCAAACGTGGATCATCTTTTGGGTAATCTATAATCTCCATTGCTTCTCCCTTCTGCTTATGCAAGCAAAGGTTCCGTTTCCGTACGACACGACACGATCTCCGGATCGGCCCAGCTTGACTTGTTTAAAGGACATGTTCGAATCCGGCTTTCGTCGCAATTGTTAAACAATTTCCCGAGTTATGTGACCTAATGGGACGAGCTAGTGACGTGGAATCTTTACATGGAGGCGAGCGAGCACCTCCTAGATTGCGCAAGAGACCATTAGAATAATGAGCTCTGCATGAAGCAGACATTTCTGGTCTTTTTCGAACCGCGTAGATCCGCGCTGCTGTCTTCTCCTTTAAGCATTTGTTTAGGCCAAAAAAAGACGGTTACATCTTTTGCAGGTTCGCGTCTCAAGAAGCCCAAGCAGACCACGACTTCAGGATCTACGAAATTTGTAATCAATGAAGGGAACGAAGACGAGAGAATTTGTGGGGCCATGGAAAAGGTCGGAGAACGCAGAGAAAAAAGCACTAGGAAAAGGCGAAGCCACGAGGCTGGCTGGGTCAGGGAAAAAAAGGGGCACGAATATTCCCTTCTTTGTAGTATATTATTCTTCTAGGGTTTAGCATGTGGAAAGACGTGAACAGTGAACACCCCCCCTTTTGAAATGTTTGGATTTCTTAATAAATAAATTAGAAAGAGGCGACGAGGGTCCAGCAGCGACAACGTAGTTACACTTCAAGAAATTACCATGAAAATGTTACAGCCGTCGTAAAATGTTCAATTTGAGATATAGCTATATAGTCCGTCCGTAAGTGTACGAACCCGTTATTGCAATCTCGATTGGGTTACGTGAGTCATGAAATCTTTTCGCATGAAGCGGCAAATGTCCAAGACACGGACTCCCGATTCGAACTTTTTCTTACGATGAACGGTGCGTCGGCTCTACACTCAACACCTAAATTTCACTGAACGTACTAATGCCCTGGCTCAAGTATTACCAAATCCAAATCAGATTAGCGGAAGATAATTCAGGGTTTTAGATTACTTTTCCAAAGTTGGTCTTCTTCTTTTTATTTATTAAGATACGCAAGCAATTTCACTCCAACTCCTAAACAAAATCACCACAAACATCAAAAAGCAGTTCCCCTAATTGCCCAAATCATAAATTACGCATAAGTTAATAATGCCTACATTTCACACCGAAAATCAGTCGTTAGAAAATTATCAAAAGCACATCTTGTTTCCTCCCTC